AAAAAACTAGATTTTGCTGTATAAAATTTTGTATTATCTACTTTATTAGTAGAAATATTAACTTTATTTTCCATTACCGTTACCATTGTGTAAGCATTATGTAGGAATCAGTTGCCATTCTTCCCAGCTGGGTTATGATTTTATGGGCAATGGGGGCGAGGGACTGAAAAAAACCAAATGCAGTCCTTTTTCTTTAGTTTCATTCAGCTTAGTATATGCTATAGATACCTAAATGTGGGTTATTTACTGAGTTAAGTGTACTTAGTGTATGAAAATCTTCCGTTAATGTTAATGGAGTTACTGTGTATTTGCACTGATATAATGGGTGCTGATTTCTGGCCAGTACTGTCAGCAAAAAGCAGAATTGGGCCCTAAATGATCAAATGGACAAACAGTGAAAATAACTGCTACATTGTTTGATGCATGAATAAGCCCTGGGGATAATTCCTGGTACTGTGCTTTGAACCTGGCTTGAAAACAGTTATGCCATTGACAATAGCTCATTTGACAAACTTGTCTTGGTGGTTTAATATGTATTTTTTGCACATGGATTTAAAGCCAGATTTTGGCGTTTGGAATAGAGGGTGAAATTAATCCATTTCCAGCATCCCACTGCACCAGATAAACCAGGTGTTGTTACTTGGCGGGGAGAGAAACATACAGAGGGAGCAGCTGTATACAGCATCTTAGTACCTCTTATATAACACTCAGTTGGTGTGTTTGGGGTCGGCTGGAAGGGTTATTGGAACCATGATTGTGTGGATCTAGTAGAGAAAAGTGATACCAAAGTGTGAAGAAGCTGTGATTATTAGTGGGAATAGCAGCCTCAGAGGGACTGTGTGCAGGTCCCTAGCCTGCCTGCAAGTTGTGAGGTAGATTCCAAACTGCTCTAGTCTATTTGGAGTTCTCTATACAAAAGGTTGATTAGTTAGATTTTGGAAGGTGATGGGTGAATTTCATCCTTGCTGTTTTAATTTTAGAACATCTGTACGTTTTGATATATTACTCTGAAGGTTTTAAAAATAATGTTAATAGAGAGATAGTGGATTTAGACTCTGGAGACCTGAGTTAGGTTGTAAATTTGTAGTCCCCATTTGTACAATCCCAATTACTACACATGTATAATATAATCTAATTTGTCATCTCTGGTCAAGAGAAACCTGGAATTGGAATAGCAAGTGTGAGGACTAAGGTACCTCAGTTCTGGACTGAGCTGCAATCCAGTAAAATCCATGCCGTTCCCTTTTCAGAATTTTCTCTGAATTCATCTGTTTATTCCCTACAGTGGAAGAAAATGAGTCAGACACACACTTCTTGCTGATCCCCAAACATGTGCATGGATCTTGGGTATCATCCTGGGATATGGGGCCATCCATGTGGAGTCCCTGCATTTCTGCAGCAGCTCTGCGTCCCCTGGTGCTGCCCTGTGGCGCTCTGACAGCATGGCACTGTCGAGGCTCCCCAGTTACTGTTCTTGAGACTCCCCTTTAAGAGCAAGGAGGGTTAATATAAGAAATAGAGGAAAGTTAATACAGGCTCTGACAGTATTTATTCTCCTCTGGTTTTGCTGCTAGGTGAGGTTGGAGGACAATCAAAGTGGCTCCACCTACTATCTACCCTTTCCTCACTTGGCGATGTCTAGAACTATGGACAGGCTTCCCTGGGTGGCAGGAGAATGGGGCACTGCTGCTGTGAAGGCAAGCAGACTCCCCCTTCTACTTTGGATGGGGGAGGTAAGTGCATGGGAGGCCTCTTCATGTGGATCTCACAAGCACAGTCTGGCCCTATATCTGTATGAGCCCGCACATTGCGTTCTCTCTTACTAGCTCATATTCTTGGGCACCCAGATTCTGTGGGGATGGGCATAGTAGAAATCTGAATAATAGCAGACTTTAAGTTCAGTCAGTGATTTATCAAAGAAAAATAGTTATACTAAAAGTGATTTCAACTATACCAAGGTTCATATTGGATGGCAGCTTGTTTTGTTCCAAATTCTTAAACTACGTTTATTTTGTTGTTCAAACTAATGAGTTCTATAATATTAATAAACCAAATTATAGAAAAAGAGTACTTTTAGAATTCATCTTATAGTGTTTGTAATACAGATGATTAGTTCCAGTATTTCGTTGTTCTTCTTTGAATGACTGTACAAGAGCGTCGCGTGGTGCCCAAGGTACCAACACTCATTCCTTCACCTCTGCACCATCTGGGAACATGGGATGCAGCAGTTAGTGTTCTGTTCAAAATGGTACCATCAAGGGGAAAGCAGCAAATGATCTCGGCAGCACCCCCTTCACAACAGATTGGTAGGTTTTTAACATGGTGGAAGCGCAGTAATACCTTCCCTGTCCCTTTTCAGGGACCTCTCATAAAGCCATGTTGATTTATAAAGCGAGACATTTTTCGGCCTATGTTAGATGAGCTTGGCTTGCTGATGAACATGAAGAAGTCCATCCTGTCTCAGGTTCAAAAAACAGTTTTGTTGAAGCTACGTTTGAGAGAGCTATGGGGCTGGATGTGCAAAGTGTAGTTCATTGAGGAAGCATCATGGACATGATAGTTCACATTCCAAATTGAGTCTTATCCTCCCTAGATTGGTGGATAGGTCTTGCTAACGTTTTCAAGGGAGTTCCCTTTGCCTGGCCTCAACAATCTCTCATCTTAGTCATGGATGCCTCGGACCAGCTTACTAGTTGAGGAGGGGTGGGACTCATTTGGGTCTGCTACAGTCACAAGATCTCTGGTCTTCCCAAGATCTCAGTCTGCATATAAATGTCAGGGAGTTGCAAGCTATCTGGTTAGCTTGCATGGCATTTCTTCCACAAATCAAAGGAAGGGGTTTGTTGGTTATGACCAATGATACAGTGGCCATGTTTTATAAAAAAAAACAAAACCAAGAGGAGCCTGGTCTTCACTGCTGTGTCATTTTAGCAGTTCTACTGTGGGCCTTCTGCATTGCCAATTTCATAATCCTGAAAGCAGCTTACCTTCCAGGGATCCACAGTACATTGGCAGATTGCCTAAGCAGGCTGTTCATCAACCACTGCAAGTGGCCTCTTCACTCAGATGTAGCAAGGTCCATTTTCCAGCTCTGGGGAACTCCCCAAGTGGATCAGTTTGCAACAAAAGACACCAAAAGACACCAGTTTTGCTCCACAGTGGGCTACAGTCCAGGTTTGTTGACTGATGTGTTCTACTGCCATGGTCAGATGAGCTCCTGTATGCTTTTCTTCCCATTCCTCTCCTGCCCAAAGTTCTGTGCAAAGTTAAGCAGAACAAGGCTCATCTTATGCTGAGGGATGGCCCTGTCAGCACTGGTTTTTGGAGCTAGTAAACCTATCAGTCCCCCATTGTCATTCCTACTATACATGAACTTGATTTCACAGAGTCAGGGTCACCTCCTCCATCCCAATCTGCAGACCCTTCTCCTGATGACTCGGAGGCTTTGTGGCTAATGTCTGCAGAAAAGTCATGTTCTAGGGTTGTTCAGGAAGTGCTGCTAAATAGTAGAAAACCATCAACTAGGAGTACTTATTTGGCTAAATGGAAGAAGTTCTCTGTCTGGGTCAGAGTGAAGAGAACTTCCCTGGTCTTAGTCCTGTATGTGCTGAACAGAAACAATCTTCTGTTCCTAAAACACTAAACATTGGCGATTAGTTCAATCAGAGTGCATTTAGTGGCTATCTTAACCTTCCACCCACTTGTTGAAAACCATTCTCTTTTTTCAGCCTTATGTCTGTAAGATTTTTAAACGGCCTGGATAGACTGTTTTCACAGGTGCAAAATCCTGTTCCCCCACGGAGCTTGAATCTAGTCTTAGAAAAACTGATGGGTCACCCCCTTTGAACCTCTAGCGACCTGCTCCCTGTTGCACCTTTCTATAAAGGTGGCATTTTTAGTGGCTATTATGTCAGCCGGGGGAATTGAGGGCATTGGTATTAGGTCCTCCATATACAATTTTCTATATAGACAAAGTTTGCATTCGTCTCCACCCAAGGTTTCTTCTCAGGGTGGTTTCTAGTTTTCAGATTAACCAAGCAGTCTTCTTACCAACCTTCTTTCCAAAGCCTCATGATTATAAAGGTGAGGAGAGGCTTCATACTCTAAATATTAGAAAAGCTTTAGTTTTTTTTAAATCTAGAATGGACTAAACCTTTTGGATCTTCGACACAACTGTTCACAGCATGTGTGGACAGAATGAAGGTCTGTCCTGTATCTACCCAAAGGATCACATTTTGGATATCTATGTATGTTACCAGATGGTGAATGTGAAGCTTCTGGATAGAGTTTTGGGTCAGTTGACTAGATCCCAAATAGCTTCTGCGGCCTGTCTGGCCCATGTTCCCATATTAGACATTTGCAAAGTGACAACCTGGTCATCATGGCATATGTTTGCCTCTCACTGTGCTATGTCTTGATAGTCTAGAGACATTGCTAAGTTTGGACAAGTTGTCCTGCAGTCTCTGTTCAAATAGGCTCTGAGCCACCACCAGATTGGATTGCTTTTGAGTCATCTGTGATATCACTTGAAGAAGAAGAAATGATTACTAACTTTTCCATAACTATTGTTCTTCAAGATGTGTAGCACATGTCCATTCCACGACCTGCCCTTCTTCCCCTCTCCATTGGAGTCTTTCTGATAGGAAGAAGCTGAGGGGGGTCAGTGGTGGCTCCGCGCTTTATGCCTGCATGAAGCAGCAGAGGGTGATCGTGCTGCCCCAATGGGTACTGCTAAGGGGAAAATTCTGACAACTGTGCATTGGGGTGGGGTACACATACACATAAAGCAGAGTGGACGTGTGCAACACATCTCAAAAAAAAACAGGTACAGAAGGGTTAGTAACCATTTCTACCATGTATAGGTTTATTCCTTTTGTATGGAATTTAGATAACTATTTTACTCATTAAAGACTTTCTGTGATATGCATAAAATTCATTGGTTTGTTTAGATAATTCATTATTTTAAAATATGTGATTTTTTCCCCCCCTTCCTTACTTAGTGGTTTTGGACTCAAAAAGGATGGGTAGAAAGGATGCCTCTGCCACAAGAACTCCTGTTGAGCAATACAGGAAACAAATAGGTAAGAAATACAGATTAATGTCTCCTTTTGGGATGCATCCTGTGTACAGTGTTAAGGGCCAGCTCATTCAGCAAAGACTTTAGACAGAAGAAAAAATGCATGATTTTAAAAGAAAACAACATTGTGATGTTTCACTCCATATTCTTTATGAAAATATGCTTGTGATATGAATATGACATAACTGAGATGTACTTTATGCAAGATGGTTTTGTAAGATATCATTGGAAAGGCTATAATTTAATGGATGTGATTATCCAATTTGTATGTCTGTATCTGAAATTAGGAATATTGACTATGTATCTGTATTTCAACTATGCCATGTTGGTTGATGCCCACTGCTAGCACTTCAGGTACAACCGTAGAAAAGCCAGCCAGAGTTGATGACCCATCAACGAGGACAATGGACTATAAAAAGGCTTGGCCTTCTTGCAGACACTCCATACTGCCGCTGACTCCTGGACGCTGTGATACTACAGAGTCAGGTGGTCTTGTCACCTGATACTAAACATTACCTAGGACTTCTTGTAACTTTCCACTGGAAGGGAAAGAGGGGGTCAAGTTTGGGAAACAAAGGATTCCCACCATATGTAAATCCTATTTAAGGGTGAGGAGGAAGGTATTGTCTCGTCTCCATGGTCTGTCTGCCCAAGAAGAAAGACTGCTAAAGCCACCTGAAGTGAAGGCGTGGAGGGGGAATCCAGACTGAGGCAGGGGTCCAGTCTGAAAAGGAATATAACTCTGAACTCTGAACCACAGAAACTTTGCAACCTGCCTAAAATAACATTTAGAGTGAGAATTTACATTTGGTAACCTGTTTTTTTAATATATTGAGCTTAGCTTGCCTATTTTGCTTTATTTGGTCAGTAATCTGCTTTGTTCTGTCTGTTTATATCTTATATTCACTTAAAATTCACCTTTTATAGTTAAACTTATTTATTCTTTATAATATAACCCAGTTTATGTAATTTCTAACTGTGGGGGGGCGGGGGAGGCAAGAAGTTGTGCATATCTCCGTCCACATTGAGGGAGGGGGCAAATTTCATAAAACTTTGGGTATGTACCCCTTAAAAGGAGTGGGCATCAGAGTGTTGGGGCAAGCCCCTAAGGCTGAATCTTTCCAGAGCTGATCTCTGTCTCTCTGTGCAGCTGGGTGTGGTCCTGCCTGTGTGGTCAGCTGGAAGAGGCTTGTGAGCCTAACCCAGCAAGGCCAGGTTAAGGGAACCCAGGTTGGCAGAATGGGTGACTCAGTGGCATCCCACCACATCAGATGACGCCCCTAAGGGCCCAAACACATCACAGACATATTTTATGCTTGCAGATGTCAGTAAAATATTAAAAAGAAATAGTTAGATGATACTCCTTAACAGGTGAAGCTTTGTCTTATTCCATCTCTATATGAATATATATGCCTGGCAAATTTAAAGTTAAATGTGGTGGTCCAGAGCTATTTTTTAATATATATTGGGTGGTGTAAGACTTTATATGATATTACCAAATTCAATCAATAATTACTGAACACTTTAAAATAAAAACAGTAAATATAATATTTTCCCTTAACTTTCTTTTGTTATGACTCATTTCCTATGTAGAGGTAGAAAATATGCAGATTACACCTCCCCCCATATAACTGGTTCCCTAAATATGAATTTAGGTGCTTACCATTTGTACCCACTCTTAAAAATTCTCTACTTCTGAAATATTATATAATAAGAGACAGACCCACATTTTCAAAAGTGGTTGCCTAACGTTAAGTACATTTTATCCATAGTTAGTCATTTAAGTAAATGGCCTTATTTTGCAGTTGCTGAGCAACCACAGCTGCCATTTAAATCTGCAGGAAAGATTGTATGTGATCATATAAAAATATTGGGGCTCACTGGGGTGGGGGATGTGACGTTCCCCTCTGGTGTTATCCTGACCAGTGATCTGCTTGGTCACGCCAATCCTTGACTCTGGGAGTTAGCTTTACCCTGCTCAGCTGTGAGAACCCCCAATAGCCAATATCTCTGTTCCCAGACACTAGCCAATATCTCCGGTCCCAGACACAACCCTAGGAACCTCTGTCTTGCAGTGTCCAGTTATGCCCGTTGGATGCTGCAAGCTTATATGAGTTTGTCAATTTAACAAATTGATATGTACCAGGCTTGTTATCCCTATGGGAGCCTCTGAAACGCTTCAAACCAAATGCAGTGTTTCAGGAAGAATAAACAAGCACATTTATTAACTATGAAAGATAGATTTTAAGTGATTATAAGTCAAAGCATAAGTCAGATTTGGTCAAATGAAATAAAAGCAAAACACATTCTAAGCAGATCTTAACACTTCAGTGCTCTTTCAAACTTAGATGCTTCTCACCACAGGCTGGCTGGTTGCTCTTTAGCCAGGCTCTCCCCTTCGATCAGCGCTTCAGTTGCTTGGTGTGGTGACTGTAGATATAGGTGGAAGAAAGCGGAAGAGCATGGCAAATGTCTCTCCCTTTTATCATGTTCTTTCTTCCCTCTTAGCTTTGCCCCCCGACTCCCCCTTCAGATTCAGGTGAGCATTACCTCATCGCAGTCCCAAACTGGCCAAAGGAAGGGGGGTGACTCACTCGAGAGTCCAACAGATCCTTTTGTTGCTGTCTAGGCCAGTGTCCTTTGTTCCTGTGAGGCTGGGCTAGGTTTGTCCCATACCTGCCCTGATGAGGTGTGAACTACCTCTCTGCTCTTGGAGAGTTTTTGCTTGGGCTTATTTTAAGCCATAAGGATACATTTTCAGCCTCATAACTGCATCATGAGCCTTCCGAAGACACCCGACATGACAAACTTTGCATTAGATTCCACACAGTCATTTTACAAGGATGAACATGGGTGTGCTGGGGGTTCCCCAGAGGTACAGAGCATCACAGGGGGTGTGGGTGCAGGGGGCTCGGAGGGGTGGTCCAGGTACAGAGGTGGGGGACTTTGGTGGGGGAGTCTGGGTGCAAGGAGTCTGGATGCAGGGGGTGGGCCTCATGGGTGGGAGGTCTGGTTGTGGGGGTGTAGAGCTTCTTGCAGCCAGGGGAGGTTCCTGGGGGTGGATCTGACCCAGCCCTAGCCTGTGCAGGGGAAGAGGAAGTCCTGCAGACCAGCCCAGCCAGAACTAGCAGCTGGAGCCCGACACATGATAGGAGCCGCTGGCCGGGGCATCCCCATCCCTGCCCTTACCTAGTCACACTCCACCCCCTCAGATGGTGATTTATGTCTTCGCCAGGTGCTCCCGACACCCAAACAAGATGTGCCCGCTCGAGACCGCTGCCTGGGGTCTGTGGGGAAAGAGTAAAATCTGCGGGGGACATTAAATTCTGCGCTTATGCAGTGGTGTAGAATTCCCACAGGAGTAAACACTGAACTGTTGGAAATTACTGGTTAAGTACCTTAGAGCAGAGTTTGTTGAAGTGCAAAACCAGCTTTTGATAGCAGTAGCCTGTTTAGCAGGTGCAGTGTGTGTGTTTTCTTCATTTCAGCTAGTTCAGTTCAATGACCAGTTAATTCAAAATTAAGAAACCACTTGGGAGTTGAAAAAGCAGGGAAGCTTGTTTTACTTTTCCAATCTATGAATAAAAGCTAGGTGTGAAAGAATGAGTTCTTGTAGTTCTAAAATCTGGAAGGACAAGGTGACCATAAACAATTAGTTCAACTACAGATAATACTTTCTATGTTTATTAGACAGGTTTGCATTAAAAATTGATTTATTAAACTTTTTTTCTTATGGATCCAGCACAGTTAAGGCTTAGGAAAATAATGAAAAAGCAAAAATTCAAAACACAATTAAAGTAGATTTAAATCAAGGTTTCCTGCTTCTTGATTTAAATCATGATTAAAATCTGCTATTTAAATTGCATTGATTTAAATCAGTCCACCCTGAGCATTATGAAGTGAGGTTTGTGCATTCATTTCCCAGCGGAGAGGTGTTGAAAAACACCATTACTTGTTGGCAGTTGAGTCAGAGAAGCCAGATTATAAACTGGCATGAGCAGCCAAACTGTCTCACCAGGGGGCATGGGACTTTCAATCAGGGTTTTGGCATGTTGGTGAGACAATGAGGCAGATTCACTGAAGCTGAAGAAGCGATGTGTAAGTTAATCCCCTCATAGTCAGATTCCTTCAGAGTTTTGCACACATACACTACCTATGTCTAAGGGAGTTGGTGTGATTTATACATGGAGGAGCTGGAAGATTATGTAAATTAAAGTATTGTGGGGGCTAATTTGATTTACACATTCTTCTAGCTTCTCAGCAGGTAAATTATGCTTACATAGACTCCCTTGAGCATTGGTAGACCACATGTTAGTAGCTCTACAGGTGTCTGTTAGTGTGGAGGAATTCTAATTTAGGCAACACCTCTGAATTTGTAAATATGAGTCAAAGAGAATCTAAGTAACCCTAAAAGAAGTTCAAATTTGGCATAACAGACATATTGAAGGAAGAATGTGTAAGCAACACCAAGGTAGATTCCCACTTTTTCATACTCACTGAGGGTATGTCTGCATTGGGATAAAAAACCCGCAACTGGCCTAGGTCACATGACTCGGGCTCATGGGGCTCTGTGTAGACGTTTGGGCTCGTGCTGGAATCCATTTTTATCCCCATAGCCTGAGCCCCACAAGCACAAGTCAGCTGATCTGGGCCAGCTGTGGCTGCATCTCTGGTCTTTTATCCCTGTGTAGATATACCCTGAGACTCACCTGTCCTTTGGGCCACGAGTACTTGTAGATAAGGTCAGCTCTCTTTGTGGGGTGAAAGTAAAAACAGCAAGTATGATCATTTAAATCAGCACTTTTCAGAAGTATTTTATGCTATCCCCAGGCAATAGTATTTTGCTGCATATGTCTAACACACACTACCAGACCAGAATGGGGTTCTTTTAGCCCACAGCCTTTTTCATCATGTGCAGGCATGGTGCCAAAGCTGTGTTGAGTACCTCCTCATTGAGAAGAAGAGTGAACAGATGAGCAGGATAATATCAGAAGAAATCCTTTT